TCAGAGTACCTGGAGAATACCCACTCGCACACACACAGCAAGAACATGCGAACGCTATGCAGAAAGAGCAGGACTAGCACTAGCCAATCAGTGATCTTCTAGCTGTATGGCAAGATAGCTATACTGTATATAACAAGGTCGCAAATGTGAGCAGTACGTTATGTCAGTCTGTCTCAGGGTCCCTGGTGTGTGTCTTGGCACTGATGTAAGCATCTGTAAAGAGTGTCATTTACCACCTCAATTAATGAATAATTAATACTTTCTACACTGAGAGCCTGCCGCTGCACGTGTGCGTGTGTATGTATGTGTGTGTGTGCACGTGAATCAGCAGAAAGACCTGCTGTTTAATGGCCACTGGGGATGCCATCACTGTCCACCTCCGTCTGTGTCACATTAATGTTTTATGAAGAAAACTTACAGCTTCCTGTGAATTATTACAGCGGGGATCAAGGGCTGAGCATTAAAACAGAGAAAAATGAAGTCGAGGAGCGTTTAAGGCTGGAGGGTGCTGATGAAAAGCCATCTGCACCCTGCATAGATAAGAGACTGAGGGCCGACATACTGCAGAACTAGCATTTATGAATGATATAGACCAGGGTGTCAAAGTCATTTTCACCGGGGGCTACATCAGCAGTACAGTTCCCCTTGAAGGCAGGGTTGTAAATGGAAGACTGTATAGATGTAACTGCTCCAAAACGAATTAATACATGTTTCTACAATGTCTTAGTATTTATTCAAGTTACAAACATTGTTCAATGCTGTGTAATAAAAAATATGTTAATTTATCAGGTAAAGAGCCTCAGCCACATGGGCGTTAATAAATGCTTTTAAAGGCCATACAAAATTACTTGGCGGGCCACATTTGGTCCCCGGGCCTTGAGTTTGACACAATATAGACTATATCCACCATCTGGAAAACAATATAGTGTAATCCCATGTAATAAAACCTGTCCTATGTTCTTCAAATTTGGTATGAAAACTGAAATCACTAGGATGATGATTGAGTTGATAAAAAAGCCAAAAAAAATTCCACCATTCTCAGAATTATAATTGCCCCATTCCACTCCTCCACTCCTCCACCAGATTTCCACATTTTATTTTGCAGTGTACTGTGTTTGTGCTGCTCAAAGGTCATCGCAGCCTTCTAAAAGCTACATCGTCTGCATATTAAAATGTTGTTTTCTTCATCCCGTTTAGACCTAAGACCAAACCTTTTATTCTCCACTCAGTTCTTTTTGCTGTGAAATTATGGCTTCATCATATTTTTAAATAAAGTTGCAGCAAAAGACTCCCGTGCCAGTCAGTCAGTTCTGCCGTCATAATATTTGCATGATTATTGCGTTGGAGGTAAAGTCTCATGTGAAAGATAGGATATTAATTTCCTGAACTGTTAGCCATGCTGTAACCATCAAACCAGCCACGGTCGGTCGGTCGGGACGACCTTCATTTCTGTAGCACATTAATGGTTTGTTGACCAGGTAATACTAAAACAAATATACCTACAATGTATCAAAGCCCATGTAAACAATAAAACATTAGTAGTGTAGTGTATAAAGAAGGAAATTACAACTAATGAATCCAAATCAACCTGGGCTGAAGGCCAGACAGGAAATTTGAATTCTCAGAAATTAGCTTTACAAACAAATGTGTACATAGTTGTGAGTAGTTCTGGAGTGTAGACTAAGAAAGCTTTCAAATTTAGAGAAATGGTTCACCACAAACAAAGGACCAATCACATTTAGTTGGACCTTAAACAAAACGAAGAAGCTTTTCTTCTATGCTAGACTTAAATCCCTCTGCCCTGACGTCTGTGTATGTTTGACTTGAATTTAGCCAGGAGTCGAAAGTGAGATGGTGTTTGAGCTAGGCTAACAGTTGGATCAGATATAGTTAGTGACTTAGCTACCTTTAATTAGTCCTTTTCTTGTGTCCCCTTTAAATCTGGTGGAGTGGGGTTTGGTCAGGTATGACAAAATAAGATTAGGATCGCCATTCTTTTCGTCCAGGAAGAATCATCCCCCAGTAATACTTGTAGGAAAATTCTGCATTTTAGCTGCAGATTGATTTGATTTTTATGGGCAACACTGGAAGGTTATAGAGTAAACACCTGACAGACCATAATGGATCTGTTGAGTGTTGGTTATTGGTAGATTTGCAGAGAGTATAGAGTGAACATTGCTGCGTCTTTTGCATCTCTGAAACAGCTGAATTACAATTACAGATTAAGCATTTGGTATTTTTAAAATTACTGTGAAACATCTGAAACAGGTTTTTCTATCTTTTCCGCAAGTGTTTTTCTTAAATATTTAACTTCTAGAATAATATCAATATTGACTCATACAGCAAAGCTGTTTTTCTCCTCTTTTGCTTCACTACTATCACTGTAGTGTGTGTGTTATACTGTTTTAACCCTGTATGTGAACTGTTTATAGGCATGAATCAGCTGTATAGAATGTGTAGATTTATTAATAATTTATTAGGAAAAGTTACAGAGGAGCAGGGAGTCAGACATGCAGATCAGAACAGCAGAACGTGGATAGGTTTCCTGGCAGCAGTGGAAGAAAGTGTTCCACCTGAAGGCCACACATGACTAACACTGGGTCAACAGCAGCAGCTCAGGGGGGAAAAAGACTAACATTTGTCTGAACTTGTGTCGTGTTTTAGGTGCACACCCAGACACACGCACTTGCCACTGTGTTTGTGTTGCGGTCGTAGGCGCGGCGTCCTGACACGGCCCTCCCTTAGTACACAACACCACCCATTCACGCTGCTGCTCTCTACCCTGAGCAAACACCGGCTAGGAGATGGTAAAACTTTGGCTTCTAAGGCAGCACATTTGTTGACTACTCACTACAGCTTAGAGTGAGGCACGGTGACTCAGCCTGCTCTGTCAAACAATGCAGTCTCTGTGTGTGTGTGTGTGTTTGTGTGTGGATGATTTTCATTATTACCAATGCTGAAAATGGCTCATTTGTCAGTGAGTCTGCGCTCCACCTCCAACTCCTGACTACTGGTATTTCTCACACACTCTCAGAAGTATTGTTTTCTGCAGGTGGCAGAACTTTGCTGCAGAAGACAAATCCAAACAACAGAATTGATCTGTGAGCAGCAGGAACAGGAACAACACACGGGTAAAACCCAGTCGTCACTGAATATCCAGCAGCTGAGTGACACCATTCTGAGCTATAAGTGGCTTTAGTCATTTAGTTTGATGCTTTTTTATTTTTTTCCGATGATCCCTGTTCTGATACTAGGATGAATCTGGATAATTCACCTTTACGGTACTTATATTGAGCACCAATCAGACGCCGGGGTTTCATGTTTCATAGGCATGTACGATATTCACGCATCCCCCTTTTTAGACATCAGTGCACATGTGTAGAAGGGACCGTGAAATACAATTGAATCAAGTTGATGGAACGCATTGATTAGTCCAGTTGTCTGGATACACAATGTCATGTATCTGAGGAGTCAGGGTTTACAGCTCCACTCATCATAAATATGCATGGTTATAGGGTTGTAGGGACATACTGTTCAACAGTCCAAATCACACGGGTTATCAGATTGGTTACATAGTGGAACTGGAACAGACATTCTGGGACGTTTGTCTCACTAACATATCAGCTGGGATTGACTGATGTCCTCACATGACCCTAAAAGGATGGGCCAGTGTTAAAGGGAAAGGGCTAAGGACGGGTTTATGGATTGTAATAAAGGTCAATAGGTTCCCTGAGGACGTCTTTATGTAGACATGCTAGGTGGTTGGTCAGGGTTGGACATTTACAGACTGTCCCCCAGGTTTAAAAAAAGACAGGCATTTGAAATGTTTACAAAATCAGCATTCACCAATATGTATGAAGCCAGTATCTTCACTGACTTCACTGCAGCTGCAGTTACAGTTTAATGGACCCATAATCACGGCTGTCATGACTGGCCTCTGGCTGCAAATGAAGCTGAGACGATGTCTGCCGCTTCATTACTGCTCATTCGTGGTAAGTGGCAGGAAGCGAAGGGGGAGAAAAGATACAGGGAAGAGAAGGGAGGGGAGAAGACAAGGAGGAAAGGAAATAGAGAAGAAGAGGAGGAGAGAGGAGATGAGGTTAGGAGGTGGTTCAACCTAATCATTCTAATTCATTTAACCATCATTTTCCACATTGATTTCCCAGAGCAGGTATACAGTTATGCAGGTCGCATTGTATTGTGGACTTTTATTTTGAAGGATGCTTTGCTTGTGTGGGTTATATTTGATTAGATTTTCTTTTCATTACTCCCCTGTAGGAAATGTCACAAGAAAAATTGTAAAAAATTAAAAAAGCGGGCAAGTGTCCTTTAGCCAAAGGACCTTGTAAGTGTAAAAAACAAAACAGAAAATAGATGAAAAGATCTTCTATATTCAGTGGCCTTTCCACTTGGATTGTATTGTACAGTCAGCATCCATTGTAAAATTTCTCTACGTGGCTGCCCTCTCATTTGCTCATTTATCATCATCAGGTGTCACTTTTATCATGTGACACTCTAGACCTTGAAGTAGCCACATGTCTCCTCCAAACACTATTTCTTTTGACTGTTTACGTCAGCATGTCGAGCGCTAACACTTAGATGTGATTTAGCTGAGCATGGCTAATAAATTAGCCAGTAGATTATTAGCATATATGAGCAATGTAGCTTATGGTTAGCCAAAAAGAAGCTATTAGCATTAGCTACAATGGAGCTAAAGGTACATAAAAGACTGTAAAAAAAGTAGTAATGATAAGTTAAAACTAGGGCTGTCAGATACATCCCTAGTATCTACAGGTGGTGGTGGAAGTTAAGTGTCGCTTGCTCACTAAGGTTATGGGTTAAAACAGTGTTTCTCAATCATTTTCTTCTTCAGGGACAACCTAAACCTTAGCGGAAG